TTGTATAGGTCCTTATTTTTCTCTGGTTACATTTATTCCTAGATATTTCATCCTATGCATGGCTATTGTAAATCGTACTGCTTTCCTAATGCCTTTTTTCAGTGCTTACATTATTGTTATAGAGGAATCCAAATTATTTTTGTGTGTTAATCTTATATTCTGCCATTTTGCTGAATCTTCCAATGAGGTCTAGTAGCTTTATTATTACGTCTTTGGGGTTTTCTATGTTTAAGATCATATTGTCTATAAATAGAGGGAGTTTTACTTCCTGTTTGCCAATTTGGATGCCTTTAATTTTCCTCTCTTGCCATATAGCTCTTGCTAAGACTTCCAGCACAAATTGAATAGGAGTGGTGACAAAGGGAATCCTTGCTGGTTCCTGTTCACAGAGGGAAGGCTTTCAGTTTGTCTCCATTGACAGTAATGTAGGCTATTGGTTTTGTATATATGCTCTTAATAATGGCGAGTAATTTCCTTTCAATTTCTATTTTGTTGACTGTTTTCATCAAGAATGGATGCTGGATTTTGTCAAATGTCTTTTCTCCATCAATTGGTATGATCACATGGCTCTTTTCTTTTTTTCCTATTGACGTGGTGGATTATGTTGATTGTTTTTCTAATGTTGAACCATCCTTGCATTCCTAATATGAATCCCACTTGATCATGATGTATCATCTTTTTGATGTTGACTAGAATTTTGCTGAGAATTTTTACATCTATGTTCATAAGGGATATTGGTTTATAATTCCCTTTCTTAGTGATGACTTTGTCTAGTTTTGGTATGAGAGTTATGCTTGCTTCATAAAATGTATTAGGAAGTTTTCCATCCTCCACTATACTCTGCAATAATTTGAGTAGATTTGGTGACAGCTCTTTCTGAATGTTGGTAGAACTCACCAGTGAAGCCATCTGGTCCTAGACTTTTTTAGTTGAGAATTTTTTAATGACCTAGTCAATTTCTTCTTTTGTTATGGATTTGTTCAGGTTTTCAACTTCACTGTGTGTGAGTTTAGGTATGTCATGTTTTTCTTAAAATGTATCCTTATCATCTTAGTTTTCAGATGTGTTCAGTACAACTTTCCATAGTCTTCTGTTTTTATCCTTTTGATTTCCTTTGGTTCCATTGTGACACCACCCATGTTGTTTCCAACAACGAACACTAGATTGAATACTGTAATCTATAATCACAGAAAAGGGAGTAGAGGGCAAGAAGAAAAAAAGAAAAGAAAAAAAAAATCTGTAGCCAAATATGAGTATGATTTTAATATCCTCTTTCAGCTTCTTCCCTTCAAGGCTACCTGATAAATTTCAATATGCCACTGTTGGTATTTATGCTGTTTTTCAGGATTTAATTTTCAACCAGTTTTGTTTATAAACTCTTTATCTTTCTCCACACCCTTTGTTCTTTCCTTTTCTCTATGAGTACACAATTCAGGGTCTGCTATAGCCCTTTTAAGCTGACTGCCTATAGCTTTGAATGCTGAGAGAATTTGTGCACCTGAGTGGCAGAAAAATCCACCAGTGTTAGAGGTGGGGAGTGTCCACTCACTCAGGAACCCCCTCTAGTCACCAGAACAGAGTTGCACAAACAGTGAGGGACCAATGAACAGATACAAAGAAACAAACAAACAAAAAGCAGAACAAAGAAAAACCATCTATGCATATTGTCCACCTTTGCTCCGAGGTTCCTGCGGCATTATTCTTTGGCTGGTCTGCTTGCACCCCCACTTGGTCTTGCTATTTGGTCTCACCCAAGTTGTAGGTTCTGGGCCACTGAGCCCAGCAGATTCTAAATAAGAGATTTCTTACTGCTGCTACAAGTTCCACTAGCTATAAGCCTTCAAACTTTTTAAATATTCCTACCTATGTGGTTCAGAGTTTTGGAGCTCTGCCCTGAACCTGCTTCACCTGGTTTTCTGTGGTATTGCTGATGGAGAACTTCACTGCACCTCTACACTATCCTCCATCAAGCCCGTATCTTTGATTTCATTTTATTTTTGACAGTTTCCTATTTCTCTAGATTCATACTTTGTACATTCCATGTTCCTAATATTAATCAATATTTGCATTTATTTTTATTATTTTTGTTGTGCCTCATCACAAATGCCATAAAGATCTCATTTTTTATAGTACTGAATTTTTGTTTTTAAAGCAATATTGTTGTTGTTGTTGTTAAGTGCCGTCGAGTCGGTTCCGACCCATAGCGACCCTGTACACGGTTTCCGAGGGTGTAAATCCTTACGGGAGTAGAAAGCCTCATCTTTCTCCCGCGGAGCGGCTGGTAGTTTCGAACCGCTGACCTTAAGGTTCGCAGCCCGATTCGTAACCATTACGCTACCAGAACTCCTTAAAGCAATATAGGTGTGTGTTAATATGCATGTGAAAATCAAATGCCTATTTACTTTACTATGACAAATGTCTTAAAAGTAAAAATTTCAAGATATTTTACAATTATATATTAATTTATCCAGGGCTTCTATAACACAAATGTGCCACAATTCTTACAATTCAGGAGTCTGAAAGCCTGGATCAGAATCTCAGCTGTGTTAATTCCTTGCATGATTCTCTCCCATAGATTCTGATATCAACCAGTACTTCTGGGGATTGTGTTCATGCTTCAAGACAGTCTTCATATGTCAAATGTTTATGACTGAAGAAGAGCTGTCTTCTCAAAGTAGGGTTGAACATGATGTTGTAAATGCAGTATAGCTTTCAAGACTTTCATTTGCTGATGAGGCATATCTCTAAAAGAATACAAATAGCTCTAAATATCCACTAATAACCAGAATGTGGCATACACAATGTATGAATATAGAAAATTGGACATTGTAATAAATGAAATGGAACACATAAACCTTAATATCCTTGGAATCAGTGAACTGAAATAGACTGATATTTGACATTTTGAATCAGATAATTTCAAGATTTACTATGTCAGGAACAGTAAATTGAAGAAAAATGGCATCACATTCATCATCAAGAAGAACATATCAAGATCTGTCTTTAAGTACAACATTGTCTGTGATAGGATATTATCTATACACCTACAAGGAAGACCAGTTAATACCATTGTTATTCAAATGTTTGCACCAAGCACTAAAGCCAATGATGATGAAATTAAAGAATTCTACCAACTTCTTTAGTGTGAAATTGATCAAACATGTAATCAAGATGTATTGATCATTACTGGAGATTGGAATGCAAAGACTGGAAACATCATTAGACGGAAAACATGGCCTTGGTGACAGAAATAATGCTGGAGATCACATGATCAAATTTTGCAAGACCAGTGACTTCATTGCAAATACCTTTTTAAAACAACATAAAATGACTGTACACGTGGACCTTACCAGATAGGATACACAAAAAATCAAATAGCCACTTTTCCCAGTGTTTTACATCATATATCATGACCCACACAGTCAACAGCCTCTGCATAGTCAATAATAGCATAAGTAAACATCTTTCTGTGATTCTCTACTTTCAGACAAGATCCATCTGATGAAGAAATAATATCCCTCATTCCACATACTCTTCAGAATACAGCTTGAATTTCTGGCAGTTCCCTGTCAATGTACTGTCGCAGCTGTTTTTCAGTTATCTTTAGCAAAATTTTACTTGCATTTGATATTTCTTAAACCATGTGGGATCCATGCCTCACATCCCTGCTTCACAAGGAGGAAAGAGATTCAAACTCAATATTAGCCCAAGGTCTATTCCTATGAAGCGGAAGTCAGGCATGCTTCCACCCTACAAGGTTTTAACCCTACTATGACACCAACCATCCATGCCACAGCATTCTCTGCTTCACATCTGGGTTCAATAATCCATTGCAATGGCCACCAAGAACTCATGACAATATTCACGATTATGAGAAATGAATAGGGTATAATTCAAGATAAAAAAATCCCAGTACACAGCAGTTCTTCACTCAGGAACACTTCTTCTCTGCCAGATTGCTGACACTTCTTACTCTTGTGTTTAGCCTCTCATCCATGAGATGCCTTGGGCTCTGCCCTGCTCAGCCAAGTGATACAAAGCTCTTTTAGACAGTCTGTGAATGCCTAAAGGCCACAGTCTTCAAGCCAGTGCCATGAATTTAGGCACTCAGTGTTACTCAATCCATGGTTCCAGAAACTGAAGCTGCTCTTTCTCTCCTCTCACCTCTTCTATCACTTCTGTTGTCATTATTTCTATAGGTAGGGATCTCATAGTTTGTGTATGCTCTTCCTTATTGATGGTCCTGGAATCTTCCATTTCTGGTTCTAAGATGACTCCTGTTAAACCTAGCTCCAGGCCAAAACTAACCTACTCAATCCTTAGATTCCTGTATATTTGATTTGCATGGTTCCACCCAATCACTTGGTGAGAATGAAGATGACTTTGGATAGAGAAGCCATATCAAGTAAATTAAAGGCACCACGGATATTAATGGCATCATTCTAAGATTTCACCATAAGGTCGGGTCACCTTTGGCCTGGGCACAAACATGGATCTCTTCCAATCAGTTGGCTATGTGGCAGTCTTCCAGATTTCTTGACATAGATGAATGAAGGACCTGCAGTGATATGTATCAGTCTGTTGAAAAATTTCTATGTGTACCTTGTTAATATCTGGAGTCATGCTTTTCAACAATGCCTTCTGTGAAGCTTACACTTATTCCTTCAGTACTCTCTACTCTTGAACATATTCTACCTCTTGAAATGATTGAACACTGACCATTTCTTTTTTTTTTTTTTTAATATTTCAGTTTGTATTTTAATAAATGATAGTATAGCCAACTATTTAGGCAGCTTCATTTTATTCAAAAAATTAATTCGAGGGCACATGTACTTACAAAACCAATACAACAAAATCTGTTCAGAGGGCTTTTTCTCAACAAGTGACACCCCAGTCCTTCCCGTCACATGCCCAAAGTAACTCTCTAGTTCTAATCAGTCACAGATTATACTGAAGGTGATGACAGTCTGTTTGACATTCGTTGCCAGTATCTAAGGCGCTCACTTTTGGGTGAGAGAAAAAGTGTTCTGGTCCATCAGTTCCCGAACTTGCTCCTGGAGGACATTCACTAATTCTGCTATCACGAAGACGTGTGTGTCATCGATGTCTTGTATGATGAACTTCTTCCCAAGGGCATTTGACTCATCCAAGCACAGCAGAAACTGCTTCATGGCTGGGTCACATTCTATAAGCACTCCTTTAAGGACGTTGACCATCTTTTTTCCTGGGGTCAGAAGGTGCAGAGAACCTCAAGAACGCTCCGCCCACAGTCCCAGATGCGGCTTGGCGCCGGCTACAGAGTGCCTGACCATTTCTTTTTGATATAGTGACTTTGTGTATACTTCCCATCTTCTTTAGATGCTTTCTGCATCATTCAGTATTTTGTCCATGGAATTCTTCAATATTGTAAGTTGAGGTTTGAATTTTTTTTATTCAGTTCTTTCAGTTTGAGAAACGCTGAGCATCTTCTTCCCTTTTTGTTTTCTAACTCCAGGTCTTTTCACATTTCATTATAATACTCAACTTTGTAATCTTGAGCTGCCCTTTGGAATATTCTGTTCAGCTCATTTACTTCCTCTTTTCTTCCACTCACTATAGTATTTCTATAATGGGGGACAAATGTCAGTTTCTTCTGACATCCATTTTGGGCTTTTCTTTCTTCCCTGTATTTTTAATGATCTTTTGCTGTCTTCCTCTATAATGTTCTTGATATCATCCCACAACTTTTCTGGTGTTTGGTCACTAGTATTTAACTCATAAAATCTATTCCTAAGGTCTCTTAATTAAACTGGGATATGTGCACCATCATATTTTGGCTGTCATGGACTTATTTTTATTTTTTTCAGCTGCAGCTTGAACTTGTATATGAGTAACTGATGGCCTGTTCCACTGTCTGCACTGGCCTTGTTTTGATATTGTGTTTTTCCATAGTCTCTTTTCACAAATGTAGTCAAGTTGATTCCTGCATATTTAATCTGGTTAAGTCCAAGCAGTGGTCTGCCTTTTATGTTGCTTACAGAAAGTTTTTGCAATGGATAAATCACTGGTCTTACAAAATTCTATCATGCAATCTCTAGCATCATTTCTATTACCAAGGCCATATTTTCTGATTACTGATACTTCTTTCTGCATTACAATCACCAATATTTATCAAAACATCTTGGTTGCACGTTTGATCAATTTCAGAAGAATTTGGCAGAAAATTTCAATTTCGTCTTCATTGGCTTGAGTGGTTGGTTTGTATTAACTGGGACCAAATATCTGAGCTCAGTTCTGACCTGGTTTATTTCAACCAGGTGGCCTTTTGAATAGGCTTTTGCCTTTTAGCTTAACTTCTTCAAAGGTGTTGTGTACATGCAGCAGGGGGTGTTTGCTATTGCACATGCAACAATCTTCTTTGCCTATAGGTAATGCATGTCTATCCTGTGATATATTGCTATTTTACTATCTTGTTCTGACTCATTGTGATCCCATATAGGTTTCCAAAGAATGGCTGATGGGTTTGAGCCTCCATCTTTGTGGTTAGCAGTCCAGTGCTTGTCCTACAGCACCATGCCAGGACTCATATCATATTAGTAAATAATCAAGAGAAGATCATAGGGCATATAACTTTTGCTCTGAGACTTTAATCATCTCTTCAATTATTATTGAGGTGTTTTTTGAAGTTGCAGTATTGTAAATGACTTCCAATTTTAGTCATCCCAAGGTCACTATGAAAAAAAGTAATTGCAAGGTCAATAAGAGTGATTGGTCTGGGCTTTCCTCTATGAAGGGTGATGAATAGGGTTTTAAAGAGATGACAGAGTTGGATGGTGATGTATACCTATATAGGTCTCTTAGGAGATAGTATCCATCCTAATATGCACTTGGTATGGCAGTACTGCTAATGCAAGATAGAGTCTAAGTCTTATTCTCTTTGCCTTGGCAAAAGAAGTACATACTATCTTATAGGCATAGAAGGTAGGAGCTCATTGGCCATTGAGAAGATTTCAATGAAGACTTCTCAGAGTCATGAATAAACGTTGACTGTTATTAAGCCATTGTAAAGTCACTTTCTATTGCCTGTCATTGTACATATATTACTCAACACTATTTCTAGGACTGACCTTTGCTCCAGATTAAATCATTCAGACTATCTCTTTGCATTGCTACAAGTTTTGTGGTTTCTCACCATCTTTATGTTGCCTTTAGATACTGGACCATCACCAAGTTCCAGTTTACGGGCATCAAATAAAGGTTCATACACCACTATAATACAACTATTTTGTTCCCCAGAGACAAAGTAGCTCAAAACATATGATTGTAGCTCTAATGGTAATTACTCATACTTGTTATTTAGCTTTGGGGTCCTGTTGTCTTTGGAAAAGGAATTTAAGGTCCTTCAGGGGTTCAAATGTATATGATTTTTCACTGAAACAAGCGTGGCATCTCTTTCAGATGTAGTTTCCTATGGGATATAAGGTTTTAGCCATGAGATATACTTTACTTCTTGCCAAAGTGATAGTTGAAGTAGTACTCAGCATGATTGTATGGGTACCTTCTCATGAGTCCAGGAGGTCTTCTTCAGTGGTTCACTGTTTCCATTCTTCAAGAAAATCTTATCACTGGGCTGTAAGACAAAACTGTTGGCTCCTTTCTGTTTCTGGTAAAATTTGACTACTGTATTTGTTGAGGGATTGCTGAACTATACTTAACAAGATTATTCTGAGTAGCAAATTCTGAGTTTCAGTGTCTAAAAGAATTTCATTAATATTTCAGATGGTCTAAATTTGAATTTGCTTCAGGGGGACACTAGTATTTTAAGTAGGCCAAGAGACAAGACTTGAAGCCAGTTAAGATTATTCTTTTGGCATACAGGAAACACTTCTTGGTGACTTTAACCTTATATACTTCCTTTTTAATGTGATTTATTCATTGTTAATTTGAAATTGTCAGTCAAGTTGAAATAGCACATTCCTTTAAATTCAGAACAGATTTCATTGTGTCTGATCAAAAGGTAGTCTATCATGGCTTGGTTCTTTAAAATTGCCTTTCTAAGCTAGCCAAATTCTTTGGCTGATAACAGCTATTGCCTGAGGTATATAAATTTAAGCTTTTGCCATGGTGCAGGTTAACTTATTAATTTAGTATCAAGCACCTGAAAAAAAAAAAAATGGAGTTAAGGCTCTGCTTTCAGACTTTCCTATCCATATATATCAAACAATTCTGAATTTAGATGCTTATACATTTTTCTTCTTGCAAACAAAATTTATTAAGTATCTTTTTATTACATTTTGATTGGTATGCTTTCTGCTGCAAGGACTAGTCAACTGCTCTTTTCAGATGATGTTTCAGGAAACATTTCCAAATTTTAATTTTAATTTTAATTGCTGGGCTATACTTGATTTCTTCATTATGCCTTCCTTCACTATGCACCTAACTTTTTGTGATCACTTTAGGAAAAGTTAGCATTGAATAAGACCACATTGGAGGAACTACTTGGTTGTTACACCAGTTGTCTGTCCCTTTGTCATACTCTGCTGTACTGAGTGTTGCTGTAATGCTGGAAGCTGTATTACTGGTACTTTTAATACAAACAGAGTAATCTGATGTGACATTGTAGATTAATACACTGGACGGCAATGTTGGTTTGAACTGCAAGACTGGAGGTCCAAGCTCAACAGCCACTAATCAGATGCCTTATACAGGCTTGCTATGAGTTGGAACTGACTCAACAGCATTAACAACAACAACCTATGGCTGTTGATCTTTCAGCTGATCTTTCAGACTAAGACAGACTATGAAGGAGAAGCAGACATTTTTTGAATGTTTAGCTACTGAAAACCTTATGAATAACAATGGATCATTATCTGATAGCACTAGAATATGGACTATATAGACATGATGAATTGTTGTTATTGAGTGCCGTCTAGTCATTTCCAACCCATAATGACTCTATATATGGTTTCTGAAGATTAGCTGGTAGGTTTGAACTTCTGACCCCAAAATATTGTCAGATACAATGCTGGAAGATGAGTATCTCAGACCGGAAGACACAAAATACAATGGGGAAAGAGCTGCCTCCTCAAAGTGGAGTTGACTTGATGACACAAATGGAAACGTATGAATGCCTTAATTTGCATATGAGAATCCACTCAAGATGAGTAGAAACAGCTGAAAACATCCATTGGTAACTAGAACATGGGAAAAAATGGTTAATCTAGGAAAATAGAAAGTTTTCATAAATTAAATGGAACATTTAAAGATAGATCTTCTAGACACTAGTGAGCTGAAATGAATTGGTATTGGCAATTTTGAATCTGACAATCTTCCAGGAATGACAATTTGAACAAAAAAAAACTTTTCAAGCTTTAGCTTGAAATATAATGCTATCTATGATAGTATAATATCCATTCCTTATAAGGAAGACCAGTTAATGCCACTATTATACCACATTATTCAAATTTATGCAACAAGCACTAAACCAGTGATGATGAAGTTAAATAATTCTATCAACTTCATCAGTATATACTTGATTAAACATGCAATCAAGATGTATTGACAATTGCTGGCTATTTGAATGTAAAAGCTGGTAACAAAGAAGAAATATTAGTAGATAGAAAATATGTCTTTGGTGTTAGAAATAATGCTAGAATTCACATGATAGAATTTTGCAAGACCAATGAATTATTAATTTAAATAACTTTTTTAAACAGCATAAAAAAATGACTATACACATGGACCTCACCAGATGGAATACACATAAATCAGATTGACTACATCTGTTTGAAGAGATAGTGGGACACCTCTGTATCATCAGCCTGAATAAGGCTAGAGACAGAAGAAACTAATAAATACACACATGCAAATTCTGGATGAATCTGAAGAAAAAGAAAACAAATCCACAAGAACCAAAGTATGACCTTGAACATATCCCAACATGATTTAGAGATCATCTGAAGAACATATTTAATGCATTAGACATTAAAGCTCAAAGTCCAGAAGAGATATGGGATATCAAGAACATCATACGGGAAGAAAGCAGAAGATTATTAAGAAGACAAGAAAGAAGGAAAAGATCAAAAGGGGTGTCAGAAGAGATTCTGAAACTTGCTCCCAGTAGAGATATGTTAAAGCAAATGGTAGAAATGAGGACGTGAAAGAGCTGAACAGAAAATTTCAAAGGGCACCTTGGGAAGACAAAGTCAGGTATTCTAATACAATGTATAGACACTTG